ATATTGACTTGAAAAGACACAGCCCTTTATTTACAGGGGTGTTTCAATAAAAATAGAGCAGGCAGAATTACCCCAGGTTTCTAGTAACAGTTTATATATTTCCCTTATTCTGTTAACTCCTGGATCAGAGAGAAGAAGCTTGTTTCTTTTTTCACTTTTTAACAAAAAGAGAGGTGAAAGTCTTGTAAAGGAATAAACCCTTGAAAAGATACCTTTTATTAAAACACTTATGCCAATGGGACTAAATAAAGGAGTGTAAGCCTGCAGAAACAGTTCAGGAATTAAAAACAAAAAGTTTTAGACTAACATAGTCAGTAATAACAATGTGAAAAAAGAAGCCATTGTGATCAGAAATAAGAAAGCCCAAGGTCTGCTTTTAAAACAAAATGATACCAAAAACTTTAACTGTAAAAAAGCTTACTATATAAAATAAAAACTTTTTAACCATTAAAGCTAAAGAATGTAGCTCCGAATTCCTGCCCCCCCCTTTCCCCCCCCTCTTTAAAAAAAAAAAAAAAAAAAAGGCCGCTTGCTCTGCTCTCATCGAAACAAACAGTACCCTGTAACAAAAGGTGACCGGCACACACTATAAACAATTTAAAAAATGTGTTTATTTGTAAAGTAATGCCTAAAATCCCCTCTTTTCTAACTTATTAAACAAACACTTTAAAAAGAAAAACCCACCTAAAGACACATCCCTTTACTTACAGGGGTGTTCCAATAAAAAAGCATCCCAGAGCCTAAACCTTGACTAAGAAAGTTTTTCCCCAATGTTTTTAGGGAGAAAAACTTGCAACAGCCTTTTGAAGGTAGTGGATTAGAAAAGACAGCCTTGTTTTTCAAAGAGGTCATCTGAAGACAATTTTTCATTTAACCCCCTTGGCATAGGTGTTTCAACAACACGTGAGTCTGCAGAAACAATCCAGGGTTAAAAAACACAGAAAACCTGTTATAAAAGTAACGTATAGCGATAAAAATGTTTTCCCCCTATGTTTTAGGCTAGCACCGGTCATTTTTTTTAGTAAGGACAGTTTGAAACAGCATGCTTTTGCAGCTGTTAGCAAAACCAGCCTCTGTAAACCAGTGGATCAGAGATAAGAAGGCTGCGTCTTCACCTGCTTTTTAACAAATACAAGTGACAGTTATATTAAGTTTTGTAAATGAATAAACACTTTAAATAAAGGGATCTGTCTTCATATAGGTTTGTCTTTTAAACATTTTTATACAGACTTTTTCCTAGCTTTTTAAACGCTGCTAAAGTTTTAAAAATGGTGAGACTGCATTGAAAGATACTTTTGTGAAAGTTTTAACAAGTATTTTATTCCATTTACTGATTGTAAAAGACAAAAACTGTCGCTTTGTGACTGCATGAAGCTTAGAGATGGCCTATCTGAAGCCCTCCCCTTCCCCCCCCCCCATTCTTTTCTATTGTTTTTTAAAACCTAAACCAAGGACAAACAAATTTTAAAAAAAGCCACAGATATCAGACCATGGAGGTAAGAAAGCAGTCCTGAGTTTTAGGGGGCATGTTGATAACTCTTTTAGTGAAACGGTTTTGTAGGCAGCCATTCTGTGTTAGTCGTTATGCTTTAGCATGGGCAAGCGTTTCTCATTCGGAAGCACTTTTCCACTTTATGAGGTATTATCTCCCCTATCCTACAGCCTATTAGAAATATTAACAACAACAACGTAAAGATACTTTGTAGCAGTGCCTGCAAAGCAACAATTACAATTTTGTTGATCGTTATTTTGTCTAAGCCCCTAGAGAATATATTTTTGTAAAAAAACACTTATGCAAACTGTAACCCTAGATGATGTACATCATTAAATAATATGAAGCAGTAGACAAGAGACCTGAGACATTGTTGAAATCAGAGAGGCTATGATTAATTCCTAATGCAGAGGGCCTGGGGTGGAAAATGAAAAGGTACAGCCAAAGCGGAAGATGGTATGATTTAAGAGGGGTTCTGGGGCTGCTCTGCAATGGTCCATAGGGAGCCTATAACCCTCATGCATAAGTGCCAGGGCTAGGTGAGGTGGGTGGGCCTTTGTTAGAGGAACAGGCCGCTCATATACCTCTTGTTGTTGTTGACAAACTGTACTCTGAAACCAGTTAGATTAACAGCCCTGTTAGTCTGTATTTGCAAAAAGAAAAGGAGTACTTGTGGCACCTTAGAAACTAACCAATTTATTTAAGCATAAGCTTTCATGAGCGATGAAGTGAGCTGTAGCTCACGAAAGCTTATGCTCAAATCAATTGGTTAGTCTCTAAGGTGCCACAAGTACTCCTTTTCTTTTTGTAATCTAACTGCATGTATACTACGGAGGCAACCTACTGACCCTTTGACAAACTCCACACCCCTTGAACTCCATAAAAACATGCTTTACACAGTTATTTTCAACTGACATTTTATTTTACAACACACCCTGTTTAGTTCCCAAAACATGTTCTAACTGTTAGTGTGGTTTTGTAGCAAGATTTTGTAATTTGCTGAACAAAAAAAGGCGTTCAACATTTTGCATTAAACATTCATCTGTCGGTTTGATGATTTCGTTTAAAACACTATTTGGGGCCTTGGCCTCGGTCACTTTGTCCACCACTTCTGCCCCTAGAGCTAAATGCAGGCATCACGGCTATTGGCTAAGAGTATCATGCACCCTCCCTCTCTAAGTAAAGAGGAGCTTCTATTTAAACTGTCTGATAATTAAAGTTTGCTTTTTTATTCACTTTTTTATCATGTGCTTCCTAAATTTCCTTCTTAATCCTGTTTTTATAGCTTTTAATGTAAGGTAAAGATCCTCTCTAAATCTTGGGACTACAGGATTGGGTCAACAAGTGCATTCTGTGACCTAGCTGTCAAACAACCTCTGACTGATCCATCAAAAGGAGGGGCTAGCTCCCAGGAGCGTTGCCCAGAACAACTATCGTTTCACTACTAACAGTCGGTGGGGTAGGATGTTTTGCTCTGCATGTGTTCAGTAACATAAACACTCTATTCTTTAATGACAGATCTCCTTACTCAATCACTTCCAATAACCTTACCCAAATGTCTCTCACTCTAATCTTTCAGTGTATCACATTTTCTATTCTTTTATAGCATATCTTTACCAGCCTCTCTTTTCTTTAATAACCTGCCCTTTAACAGCTCTCATTACTCAGTCACCTTTTTTCAAAAAGCCTTACCCAAACTTTCCTTTTCATCAACCCTAAACTTCCCTCTAGTCTTTCAACCTTTTTCTCTCAATGTATCACATCTCTTTTCTTTAAACCTGCCCTTTAACAGTTCTCCTTACACAATCACCTTTTTTCAATAAGCCTTACCCAAACTTTAAACTGCTCTCAATGTATCCAAACACAACACTTCCCCCATTCAAACATGCACAAAATTTTTTTCAAAATGGCCGATAGCGCGAAACTTCGGCGCCAACGGAAACAGGGTGGGAAGGCGGGACATAAGCCCTAAAGGGGTGTGGAAACCTGTCAAAATGCATGGTGATGAGTACTATCGCGGCCTTTACTATTGATGCTATTTAAATTGATTGGCAATCGTGAAAGGGGAAAAGTCTAGACAAGGAAGAGGGAAATGGAGGGGCAACATGTACTTTGAACCCTTCATTCCACATGTCTATTGCAGGGAGTTCTGTAAGTTGTGACTCCTAAAGGAACAAGTAGAACATTTTGTAAAAACAAATGGAGCCAAGTGCCACCCAAAAAAGTCCCCTACTCCATACACTAGACCTGAACTCCCATAAGAAATTCAAAATACTCTGGTCACAGTAAAATGTGTTCTTGTTGCATAACATAATGTTCTTGTAGCTATCTTTAAGTTTCACAAAAAGAAAGTCTAGTCCTCTTAAGTGGAATAATAACCTCAGTGAAATTTTCTTGAATTTTCTACGGAAGTGCTTGCTTCTGGACATAAGAGCAGTAATCAGTGAGACCTCCTAATGTTTCTGATACTAAGATACAGCTTCACTAAAATTCTTCCTACAGTACTTATCTTACAGAAAGAAGAGATGCTAATGATGATTGTTTCTTAACTTTGATAGTTTGCTAACAATTAGACAAAATGAAATACACACATTACAAACATATTATCCCCATGTATTTTGTCAGACAATGACACTAAATACTCTTTGAAATAAATAACCTGATGTTCCTGAAATAACCAGAAGGTTCAGAATTGTGTGAGACAGTACATGTGACTTTAGAGTTTATTACAAATTCTCTATTTTGCAGTTTCCAGAATGTAGTAAGTGGTGTTTTACTGAAGAATAATGAAATCAGACTTCAGAGTTTGTTATTACTGTCAGTGTTCTACTGGCAGACAAGCAAAACTTTAAATTGTAATTTTCATCTAATTTTCAACAACACACACAGTGCATCATGTTCATAACTGGACTATTCTTTTAGTTATGATAGTAACATACTTGATATATTTTATTATTTGGATTTTAGCCTTCAGTTTCTGGATTATTATTTTGGATTTATGTGTTTAGTTTTCTTAAATCATACTTATTATATTTTGATAGTCAGTAGTAGATGACTATTGCCGATTTTAAAATGATAAGTGTATAGATCAATGTCTTGAATGTAAGAAATTCAGACAAACTCACTGAATGAATACAAATTGTACAAGAAAGTATAAGGATCTGATATTTGTATACCTACTATGAATTCAAGTTGTAAATATATACATAGTGTGATTCTCCTTTCACTTATACCAGTTTTATAGTGATGTAACACAATTGATTTCACTGGAGTTACTCCTAATTTATATTTATATAATTGAGAAAAGAGGTGAAATCCTGGGTATATTGAAATTAAAAGGAATTTTGCCATTTACTTCAGTGGCATTAGGATTTCACCCCAAGTTCTTAGTTCTTATAACTTTTTAAAAAGTAACCTACTGGCTTGGTTTATCCTTTTTTTTAAAAATAAAGTTGAAGTAAAACATTAAACCTCTTATTAGGTCATAGTTGCAAGCAGTCTTACTTACATCAGTCCATATTGAACTAGCCTGTGTTAGCAACATCCAGGTTCGGCTAACTTGAGCACATCTTGCCAGATCAATTAAGTTGATATAATGGAAGATCTAGGATAGAAAAACAGAATGTATGAAAATAGAAACTATTGCTTAATAAATACCACTAGACTAAAAAAAAACCACAAAACAAAAACGACAAAATACATTCAAACCCAAAACAGACTTAAAATGCTTCTGTCAGCTATTTTATATGACAGAAGTATGTTATGCTGAAGTAGGATCTACTTTCCCCTCTAGAGCCATGTGATGTCAGATAAGGCATTATACACCCACTTATGATCAAGTGCCTGATATAGCAATCAAGGGATCAGTTTTCTTAGCTAACAGAGTCATGAGAGGAAGATTTTTAAAGGAGGAGTCACAGGAATGAGGATATCAGATCACCTTGTCTGTAGCACCTTTCACAGGACTAGCTCAGCTAGGGCAAAGTTTGCTATGAAATTTACCCCACAGATCTCTGTAAAGAGCCTGATATTGCTTGATGCACTGTGTTAGTAGGCTCCACAAGCTAAGTGATTTGGTCGCAATCTGTATCCTAGAGATATAATTGTGAATTTTCTTTTCCACATCCCTCTTACATTATTGCTTCCCAAAAATTACATCTCCACAAACATTTTGGGAGTAGCAACTTAGAATAATCTTTCAAGAAGCAGCTTGTCCTCTGCCTACAGTTAGTTACTTCTCCTAGAACATAAGGGAAATGGGATTAAACTGAATATATATTTCAGCCCTCGCATATTCTATTTTTAAATATGAAATGACATACTAGAACTGAAAACTTAAAGATTCCATATATACATAGATGGATTCATTACATTTCCCAGATCAATAGAGAGCTTTTTTCCTTTGATGGATTTTAAAATCCATTGCTAGGCACCCACTGTAGCAAATTAGTTTATTTTATCATCTGTTTATTCATGTGCTGTCTGTCCTGGCCACTGGCTACATGTTGTGCATAAATCCGGAGAAGTGCAAGAGGAACTACAAACAACCTATGAAAAATGGGGCACCCCAATATTCATGGGGTCTGGAAATACAGATAAGGGAAAAGAGGGTCGATATCTTCATGCACATACGCAGAATGTTAAGTGTAGTCAGAATCACAAAATAAAAGAGGGCTCCCTGGTTGGGTAAAATGGAATGCCTAGGGGCAAAACCCCAACAGGAATCATCCCTTTATTGATGATCAATAGGTGAGGAATCCATCAGGAACGAAGAATATTTTTGAGAATGTGAGTATGACTATGTTTATAATTTGTGCATTGGTATTTGTAGGATTTATGTGCGCTTAGGTAATCATAATCTTGCTTGTGATTAATAAAACTTGTAAAACAGACTAGATGTACTTGTGAATGTATGTGTGGTCACTATTATTGGTCTTAGTGTGTTCCTAGAGTCTCTGCTACTTGTCTCAGATTTAGAGGTGACTTTCACTCTGTTGAATACTGAGGGAACTCCTGCTTGAGCCCCTCTGTTGATCTTTACGGTAGCAGTAAATCACGGAGAAAGAGGTGGTGATCCCTCAGGGAACCCTGGTCCAAACCATTAAGGGCTTCATTGATAAAGTCAACTCCTTGAATCCTACTTTGAATTACCTTTATAGCAGTTTTTTAATTAATTTTTTATAATCCCTTGAATTTAACAAGTTAGAAATCAAATCCTATTGTATTAAGGGCCTGATCCTGAGCACTTCCAGCTCCCATTGATGTTAAAATGGGAGTTGAAAGTGGTCAGCATCTAGGAGAATCTAAAAACCTATTAAAACCCTAAAGAGATAACATTTCAAAAGAGCAAACAAAGAAACCCAGACAAGCAGTTCTGTATCTGAGACAATCATTAGTAAACTATAGACTGCAGGCATGGATCTTTCCAGCCCACCAAGTTTGCCCACAGTCCACTTAGAGCCAGATCTATCAAGCTTCAATTCAGGAAAACACTTAAGAATGTACTTAAGTCTATCCCCTATTCAGGGCAGTACTTATATGTATCGGGGGTAGCTGTGTTAATCTGTATCCACAAAAACAAGGAATCCAGTGGTACCTTAATAAATTGCCTGTTCTGTTCACTAGCTCTGAAACATTTGGCACTGGCCATTGTCAGAAGACAGGACACTGGGTTAGATGGACCGTTGGTCTGACTCAGTATAGCCATTCTTACGTTAGGATTGTCTTTGTAGGTGATGTGGGCATGGTAAGAACCCCTACATAAACTTTCTCTCTTACTCCCAACAGATAAGTGATGTCAGGACATTCTAGGGAAGCAAGACCCATTTGTCCTGAGAGTGCCTGCTTGGAGAGTAGACCTTACACAACTAGGCTTGCAGGCACTGCAAGTGAAGCCTTGCAAATGGGTTATGCAGGTACATGTGGCCGTATGACCTAGCAGTACCAGGTCATCACCTGAGGGCTGCGTCAAACCTGGCTGATAAGGTCACTCATTGAAAGGAACCTGTTTTCATGTAAGTAAGCTCTTATCTTCATTGAGTTCAGATTCATTCCAATAAATTCCATAATTTGTGTGTGGGTTAAAGTGAACTTTTCTGAATTTACCTGAAGTCCCAACGCATGAAATAGGTCAAGTGAGGAGGTGACCAGTGCTTGTACTTCCTGATACTACCATCCTGTGACCAACCAATCATCTAGGTAGAGAAATATGGGGCTGCCATGTCTGCAGAGGTATGCTGCTATCATGGACAATACGCTCATAAAAACCCTCAGGCCATCGAGAGACTGACAGGGAGCACTTTGTATTGAAAATGCTCTGGGCCCACCGTAAAATGTGGAAATCTCCTGTCCACCGAGTGAATGTCTATATGAAAATAGGCATCCTTCAAATTGAGGGACGTAAACCAGTCACCTTCCTTCAGGGAAGGGATTTTTGAGGCAAGGGTGGTCATCTTTGTGGCATTATACTTCATAGTAATATTATTATGATAGGAGTATGGCATAATTATGATGTATTTTGTGCAAAATAAGGCATGTGAGATATCACTGAAAAGTTTATGATTTACTGAATATGATTATCCTACCTGTAAGCATGTATCATTTTGGTATCTGAAGTTAGGAATATTGTCTATGCATCTATTAGAAGTGTTTACACACCTGGGGAATGCCCACTAGAGAGAATGCAATCAGTCTAGATGGCTGGCTGGGAAGGCCCATTAAGGAAAACAATAGGTCTTTGAAGTTGCTAATCTCCCACTGGGGAGCCTTCCTGGGAAGCCTTCTTGGGGCTGCTGCAAACAGCCTCTGAGTCATGGCTGCAGTGGCCCTACAGGGACATGGGACCTACTCACCTGTACTGGAGTCCATGATAATACTAGTGTTTCTCCACTGACCAGGTGTGGGAATCAAACTGAGAGACAAAGGATTCCTGACATATGCAAAAGCTATTTAAGGCAGGGGAGTGACATCATCATGGTTCATTCCTCACTGACTCCCTGTCCAAGAAAGGAGACTGCTGGAAACACCTGAGAAACAAAAGACTGAACTAGGGTAGAAGGGCTGAACCCAGGCTAGAGGGTTGTCTAGTCTGTAAAAAGACTAACTGGAGTTTTAAGCTGCAAGCAAGTGCAGTTTGCCTTCAAGAATTTCTGTAATCTGCTTAAAACAACATTTAGGGTGAGAATTTGCTACTTATAACTAATTTATTTAATATATTAAGCTTAGATAGCATTTTGTTTTATTTGCTAGGTAATCCTCTTAGATTTTAAGTGATTATAAGGGATAGCAAATAGATCAATCTTTTGTAGTTAATAAACTTTGTTTTGTCTTGTCTAAGACCAGTGTGTGGAAATCATTACCGGGGGGGGGGGGGGGGAAGCTGTTGCCTATCTTCCTCCACATTGAGAGAGGTGGCCAATTTCATTAGCTTACGCTGTACAGATCTGTGTGCAGCGCAAGACCTTATAATTGTAGGTTTACACTCTGGGGGTGGGGGTTCTTAGGAACCGGAAAGTGCCTTAGCTGAGCTTTCCCATGCAGAGTTGATCTCAGCATGTGTGTGTGTAGCTGCAGCTGGGTGTGTCCCTACCTGTATGTGTGCTGGTGGGGGCCTGAGGGCCTGTCACACCAGTACAGCGTAAAGGGAGCACAGGCTGGTGGGTCAGGTGGGCTCAGTGGTATCCCAGTTCCAAGTGGCACCCCAGGGGGGAACCCGTCACAGTGATCAGGGCGATTTGCACAGCTTGTTGCTATGAGACACTTGTGATTTTAAGCAAGTTTTAAGTGTGTTCCCTAGAGATCAGTCAAAATGGTTACCAGTTTGTTATTTTCTGTTTGCTTATTTCAGGTAAGGAAAGTAGGGACAGAAAAGTAACAAGATGAGTGAAAACAGTGAAACAATTGTGAAACTGAAGATTTTGAGAATTCAGGCAGAAGAAAAAAAAAAAGACATAGAATTAAAACAAATGGAGATTAATGCGCAAGAAGCTGCACACCGAAGAACCATAGAAGCAGAGAATGCCAGGCAAGAAGCTGCATGCCAGAGAGCTATGGAATTAAAACAGATAGGGGCTGACAAAGAAATTAAGATCCAGAAGTTAGCCATGTAGGAGAGAGAGAGAGAGAGAGCGAGCACGCGAGCACACCAACTGGGCTTGCTAGAGAAGCAGAACCAGATGAAAGATCTAATGGGAAAAAGGATTGAAAGCTTTAAAGAAATGTTTGACCTTGTTGAGTATTATGCTGGCATTTGCTCCAGGGGGGAAGGGAACATTTTGCCTGTCTGAGAAAACTGTCCAGGTTCCTGGCTGACAGCAGCTTGCAGTTAAGCAAGGGACAGACCTCACTCTAGAATGTATAGGAGGATGTGTCCTAGATGGAAGCCCAAAGGAGGGGGATGGAATCCAAGAGAGACTGAGGTGGGTGAGGGTTCCTTGGGCTCTGTAGCTGGAGACAAACCCAATTCAAAGAGGGAGGAGGGTGTAGCACTTACCAGTGACAGGACTGTTCTGGTTGTTAGCTGTGAGCCCATGGCCAAACAGGGTGTGTCTTAGAGGGGGGCCCAGAGAAGGAAGTTCAGAAGGAATTTGGGAGAGTACAGGAATGTCTCCTCACTGATTACAGAGAAGGGTTTGCCCAGAACTGAGCAGCTGTTCCAGCATCTGTGCTCCCAGGCACCCAACCTGTGACTCAGGTTTTAAGAGGGAACTGTGTAACTGATGTCCCGGAGGGGAGCAGTCATACAACTGACCTCTTGGGAACAGGGAGAGGGGTGGCAGAGGATGCCCCAATCCAGGTCCCACTTTTGCAAAATGCTGTTCCTAATGTACTTGTGAAAACTGTGAATCCTAAAGATATGAGTGTCATTGATAATACTAATGACATGCATAATTTTTGAAAAAAATCTGTACATGCTAGGAGTGGTATTCCTATAAGAATACTGCTTCTCAGCTAATACCTGTAAACGGGCTTAGAGCTTGGCACAGCAGAAAAAGCATAATAAACCTAGACTGCTGTGTGGAAGGGGAAACTGAGGTACTTCATCTCATGGCATTGGTGGCTACACTCTAGAGGATATTGATATTGGCACTGTGTTAACAATGCTGCACACTAGAATGCTTTCAGACAACTTGGAAAAAGAAACACAGAACTTCGCAAAAAAGCCTACGAACACCACTCACCTTACCACTCTCGTTACAGTGTGTATGGTAACACCCATTGTTTCATGTTCTCAGTGTATATAAATCTCCCCACTGTATTTTCCACTGAATGCATCCGATGAAGTGAGCTGTAGCTCATGAAAGCTTATGCTCAAATAAATTTTTTAGTCTCTAAGGTGCCACAAGTCCTCTTTTCTTACTACAATGTTTGTTAACACTTGGAAGTTGTGTAACCAAGACCTACGGAGGACATTAGGCACACCGACTTTGAATTAGTCAGTGAGTAACCCTCTGGCTGTAATCTAAGGGGAGAGGTGTGGCATTATGCCCCATATTCTCCACAGTAATATTATTATGAGTATTGCCTAATTATGATGTATTTTGTGCAAGATAAGGCATTTGAGATATCATTGGAAAGGTTATGATTTACTGAACATGATTATCCTACTTGTAGGCATGTATCATTTTTGTATCTGAAGTTGTCATATTGTCTATGCATCCATTAGAAGTGTGTTTACACCTGGGGAACACTCACCGGACAGAATGTAATCAGTCTAAATGGCTGGCCAGGAAGGAGCATTAAGAAAAATAGGTCTTTGAAGATGCTAATCTCCCACCAGGGAGCCTTCCTGGCAACTCTGCGAAACAGCCTTTGAGTTATGGCTGCAGGATCATGTGATCAACTCACTGATCCTGCACACCATGATAATACTAGTATTTTTCCACTGACTGGGGTGGGAATCACCCTGGAATACAAAGGATTCCCGCCATATGTAAAACCTATTTAAGGCACGGGAGTGACATAATCAGGGTTGGTTCTTCACAGAATCCTCACCGAAGAGGACAGCTGTAAACATCTAAGAAAAAAGACTGAATGAGGGGAGAACCAGGCTGGAAGGTTGTCTAGCCTGTGAATGAAGTATCTGAAGTTTTAAGCTGCGGGCAAGTGCAGCTGGCCTTCAAGAATCTCTGCCACCTGCCTAAAACATTTAGGGTGAGAAATTACTACTTGTAACCAGTTTCTTTAGTATTTTAAGCTTAGATTGAGCTTTCTTTTATTTGCTGGATAATCTGCTTTGAGCTGTTTACTATCCCTTATAATCACTTAAAATCTCTCTTTTGAAGTTAATAAACTTTTTTGTTTGGTCTAAAACCCAGTGTGTAGAATTCATAACTGGGAGGCAAAAAGCTGTTGCAGATCTTTCTCCACATTGAGGGAGGAGGCTGTAGGGGCAAGGTTGCGGAAGATTGGCGAGGAGCTAAGTGGTGGACTGAGTATGTGACTGGATGTAAGCGGAGGATGCAGGCAGTTTTAATGAACTTTGTCTGACAGACCCTGCCAAAAGATATTGTAGCACAGCTCAGCATATTTTTGCCTGTAAACAAGTTAATGTAATAAGCATTAATCATACATATAAGAATGTAACCAGCTGTTGACCCCATGTAACCCCAAGATAAGCACAGAGAATATAGCACTGCAGAGGACTCCCCCCAGCAGAGTCCTGCCTGGTCAAATGTCCCAAATGGCCAGAGTCCCCTGCAGCCCTTCCACATGTCCTAGGGGCTCCCCACAAAGATTGGAGCATAAGTTCTTCCCTCCTTCAGTAAATCAGTTTACTATTCTTAGGCCTGAGTGTCCTCCTTTTGCTTGTATCTCCTCCCCAGCCCTTGCAGGCACAGAGGCAAATTTCATGAGCTTACATTATATAGTTCTCGGTGCAGCACAAGACAGTAGAATTATGGGTCTACCCTCTAGAGGCATGGACTTGAGTCCTGGGCAATTCCTTAGCTGAATCTTCCCATGCAGAGCTGATCGCAGCATCTCTGTATGTTTCTGCAGCTGCATGTCCCCCTACTTGTATGTGTGCTGGTAAAGTGCAGTCTGAAGCCTGAGGGAAGGCTTGGCTGGCTTCCCTCAGCAATAGTGTGAAGGGAACCCAGGCTAGTGTGTCAAAGGGCTCGGTGGTACCCCAGTTCCAAGTGGCACCCCAGGGGTGAGAAGGCCATTTCACACACCCATAAGCATTTGTAGGCATGAATCCTTAGATAACATGCTAAAATATATAGGCACTTACATATATAGGGTGGCAAAATACCTTGTTCACCTCAGTAGGCTCAGTCCTTTTTAGCCTTGGAGATTCAGGTTTGGGGCAAGGTGAATCCTTATAGGTGGCACAGGGTCCTGCTACTCCTCTCCTCAGTCAGTCCCTTGTGCTTGTTTTGTTTTCCTTCCCTTCTGGGGAGCAAGTGCAGCCTCCCTACTAGGAAGGTTTGGTGTCTTGCTGTAAGCAGCCTACTGGTAACTTCCCTCACTCCTACCAACCAGGGGAGGGTTTAAAAAGGTCCCAAGTAGTTGGAGTCAGCTGAACCTAATTGGTTCCCTAGCAACCCCTTTTCCAGCTGAACCTTATTGCCCGGGTTGTCTCTCCTCAGTGGATAGGGAGGGGCCTTTTAATCCCCTAGGACTAATTACTACCCCCCTTTTGTAGCTGTTTGTCCTGGGTTTACCACAATAGGTATAAAAAACTAAAACACCCGCTACAAACCTGAAGACTTTTTTGAAGCACATGTAAATGAGACACAAAAACAGTCTAAAAGAACTAGACCACTAGTCCAAAAAGTCTTCGAGTCTCCTAAAGCAACTAGCACATGAGGAAGAGATAATGCCTGTTATGCACCTACTGTAATTGTGCAAAAATATACTAGATGCAAAAAATGCATTCTAATTTCAACCAGAAGTATGCAATTACACCTAGAAGTATGATAATTGATAGGATAAATTAGAAAAGCTATCTATTGTAATGAAATATTCTGCTGTTATTTATATAAATGCCTCAGAAACCTATTACGGTATTCATCTCAATAATAAGCTCTGGGAGTGAATTCCAAAGACTAGTTATATGTTTCATAGAAAAATATTTCCATTTTATTCATACACAATACACTGTGTTTCATTAAGTATGACAAAGTGAGTGAGGTAATATCTTTTATCGGACCAATTTCTGTTGGTGAGAGAGACCAGCTTTCAAACTTACACAGAACTCTTCTGCAGGTCTGGGGAACATATTTAGGTGTGACACTCTGAGTATAAGGAGGAAGAGATTGTTTTTCAGCATAAGTAGTTAACACACATTTCAAGGGACCATTCCAGGTAACATGGCATCAGTCAGAGGGGGGGACGGGAGAAAGGGTGGGGAGGCAGCTGGCAGGGGGTTGTTAATGGGTTATACAGATTGTTATAAAAAGCCATAAATACAGTGGCTCTATTCAGTCCATGATTTTTAGTGTCTTGCAAAGTTATGAATTTAAGCTCCCAGATTTATTTTCTCAAAGTGTTGTGTACGTTTCCTTTGAGGATAAAGACTGATCAATCACTCTATACCTGATCTCTTTGTGAAAAATGTTCACCCACAGCTGATATGGTGTTTTTGTTTTTTATCGTTTTCCTGTATGAGTTCATTTGAGAGCATAGAGATTGTCTAGTTTCACCCACATACTGTAGTTGTTATTGGGGCATTTAGTGCACTGGATGAAGTCACCACATGTTGTGATGAGCATGTGTAGGACCCATGGATCTTGAAAGGTGTATTGTGTGGGGTATTGATCATTGTAGTAGTGGAGATACATCTGCAGGTTTTGCATCTGTTGTTCTGGCAGAGTCTGGTGCTGCTTGGAGTTGGTGTGTCCTGGTCTGTGCGGAGCTTGCTTCTGATGCTTGGAGATGCTTCTCAGCTTGGAGATCACTCTATATCTGACCAATCAGTGCTCATCCTCAAAGGAAAGTTGCACAACACTTTCAAAAGTCAAGCCTTGCTGCTTAAATTCATAACTTTGCAAGACATTAAAAATCATGGACTGAATTGAGACACTGGATTTATGGCTTTTTATAACAATCTATTACTCACTAATAACCCAGCCAGCTGCCTTCCCCCACTCCACCCCCCACTTCCCTTCCCTCCTGTGACCGAATGGGTATTAATGCACCACTTCACC